TGTCGCGGCGCAGGTAGAGCGGCGTGCTGTCGGCCGCTGCACCGCGCGGCCCTTGATCCACGCGATTTGCCGTGCCGGGTGCCGGGGAGCCCAGTAGAATGACTGATCCCTTTGTATCGCACACCTCCTCTGCGGGGCGCGGGAGGATGAGACCTTGAGAAGGGAGGGGCCTGGCCAGCTTCGTCCAGGGGGACGGCTGGACCTGAGCTTCATCATCTGCGTAACCTAGTGCGCTCCAGCTCCTCGAGAAGTTTGGGACAGAGTCCGGAGCAAGTGGTCCCAGGCAGGGAGTGCGATGGCCTGGCGGGGTGCTCTCGTGGCCTGTAATTGATGATCTACTGGAGATCCATTCGCGCGCGCACCCCAGGGAGGCGGCCGAGAAGGGAGGGAGGAAGGGAGCGAGCGAGGCCCAGGAAGCCTCAGCGTCTCTAACCCACGTCCCTCTCTCCCTCACTCCCAACGACGACGAGTCTGGCTTTCGTTCGCCATCAGCTGAGGAGAGCCCAAAGTATCCCCGGAGGTCGAGGCCCACTTGCAGATGCCCATCTGTCCTCCTGCTTTGTCAACCAGCTCTTTTCTCACCAGACAGCATCATGGCAGAGCAGGTGGCCCTGAGCCGGACCCAGGTGTGCGGGATCCTGCGGGAAGAGCTGTACCAGGGTGATGCTTTCCACCAGGCTGACACCCACGTATTCATCATCATGGGCGCCTCGGTGAGTCTCCCCAGGCCTCCGATCTGGAAAGTCACAGTAAAGGTGGCATCACCAGGGCCACTGCCCACCCCTTTCTCAGCTTTCACAGCCAGGAGAGCTGGGGTGCACAGGCAGAGTCCTGCAACTTGCAGGTGGTACACTTCCTCCTTCGGGAGGAAGACAGGTGCCAGGGGAATGCTACATTGTTTCCAGACATGCTGTTACTTCACCGCAGTCATGAGGTCAGCCCCAGCAGCAGGGTCCGAAGCTCTGTCTGCCTCACCTCTGCCGGTGAAGTTCCTTGGGGCCCGACACCAGGCCTTCCTTTGATCGCCTCTTGGCCATTGCTTCTGGAGCCTGCTGAGGAACTGGCCCTGTGTGCCCTCCTGGCACAACTGCTAGTTTGCTCCAATCGAAAAGGCCAAAGAGTAGATGCCAAGGCAGAGGAGTGGCACGCTGAGAGTACATGGCAGGGCTAGATGGTATCCAATCTTGGCCTCGAGCTACAGCATGCTTCTCCTCTGCCATGTTGCAGCAGTACCTGTGCAGAGACAGACGTCAGAAGTGGTCTCAGTGGTTTCTTTTAACTTTGATGTGCACAAGGACCTACTGACCATGGTAACATTTTTGCCATTTGTTGTTGCTTTGAGATAAGATTGTGCTGTTTGGTCCAGGCTGGCCTTGGACTTGCGATCCTCCTGCTTCAGCCTCTCCAATGGCTAGAGTTACAGGTGTAGGCCATCTCACTTAGCTACCGGATGGCTCTTGACAGGGTAGGCAGTAGCTCAGCATCTGCCTGGGGTGTTGTGGGCTCTGTAGGGCTAGAAGAGCTTGGTATTTCTGATCAGAGCTGGGAAAAGGATTGAAGAGACAGCGAAGAAGAGGAGGTTGGCCTGAGAAAGGCCAGGGGAGCCACCGCTGTGGACACTGTCCTCGGTTCCTGTGCTGTTAAGACTCTTAGCCCACGCAGTATCAGCCACCAGCTGAACACTTAGGACTCTGACTGTTCGGCCCTCAGTCTAAAGAACAGACTGTGGGATAATGGAACCCAGGACAAGTTCTCCTCCCTTCCAGTCCCCACCCCACACTGGCCTGAGCATTGCCAACAGTGACCCAATCATGGGGCTGGATTGCAACTCTAGGCACTGAGCTCTCCCTGAGAGGGTCCGAGCTTGCTGTGCGACTGACCTCGGGTGAGCTGCTCCAGGCTTTGGACCCAGCAAGGAAGGCTTTTGAAATAAGTGCCCCAGGGCTGACTGTGTTCTCACAGCTGGGGTTGGGCAACTGGTTCACTGTAATCCACAGGGTTCCCCTTTCCTCTCCTCTCTGCAGCTGAGCAGAGCTGCCAGTGCAGAAATGGGAAGTGCAGCTCCCACCAAGGAGCAGAGCAAGGCCTCTCTGAAGAGCCTCATTGTCCGTCCCCCCACACAACAGTGCCAGAGCAAGCAAGCAGCTCCTACTCATCCTTTCTGGGTGCCTCCCTGGGCACAGAAGGTGGCGAGTTCAGGGTTGTCTGGGAACCCACGAGGTGTCCGATTATTCATTCAGCACCCAGTGATCAATTGCCCCTTCCAGACTCCACAGCCTTGGTCCCTGCCCTGCTCACACGACCTGTGGACTTCAGGAGCCAGGGACCCAAGGTGTGAGCAGACCTCAGAGGGGTGCGTGGAAGAAGCCACCAACTGTCCCTTATGTCCCCAAGCCCTGTAACACACAGGTCCCATGGGCAGGGCCAGGAAAGCAAGGCCTGCAGGTGAGGGCTCAGAGGGCAACCCAGGTGAAAGGAGACGCAAACATCCAAAGCCCTAAGTCGAGGACAAGCTCACTGTGACCCAGAAATCAAAAGGAGGCCAGGGACTGGCAGGCCAAAGCCCAGGCCAGCAGGACAGCCTGGGGGAAGCAGGCTGTCCTCTGCTCCTCCTTTCCTCCCTGGACGGCTTCCACAGCCCTTGCCTCATGCCTAGCTTCCTTCCGAGGAAAGAGGTATCACCAGATAGGATTACCAAGTGGCTTGGAGTCTCTCGGAGTCCCCCTTCCCCACCTGCCTCAGCACAGAACTGACAGGACTGGAGTTCAGGCCACCAGGGACAGAGCTTGTCTGGAGTCAACTTGGCTCTCCACCCTCAGTTTCCCCACCTGACCCATGGTAGCTACAGGCCTAGTAGGCACCCAGGGTCCATTCTGGCGAGGGTCTGGGGGCCGGCTGACCCAGGACTCCAGCCCCTCCCTCTCCTCAGGACATTTCTTGGACGATATCGTTCCCGCTGTGTCATGATGACGTTGGCACTCCCCCAGAGGCCTGGTGACTCAGTCCCAGGGTGTAGGAGGGAGGCCTTTTTGTTAGTCTTTCAGCCTGAACCCGGCAGCCCCCAAGTTCCCTGGCCTTGGTGGCCAGGGGCCAGCTGGGCCCCAGCCAAGGCCTGGGACTCCACCTGGGTGGCTCCTTGATCCCAGCAAGTCTTCGGGACTAGATGGCTGCCCCTGTGGGTCCCCACTTCTAAGACCCTGCCACCACCCCAAAGGACTGGGGATCTTCACATATATCCCAGTTCCCCTGTGAAGTCACCAAGTGTCCTTGGGCAAAGTGAGGCAGTGGCGAAGGTGAGAGGCTTCCAGCAATGCCCTGGTCCCCCTCATCCACTCATGGCCACATATTCCTTGCTTTGGAGGAATCGGTGCTAGCGGGGAAGCCAGGGCCACCACCATGCCTGAGGATAGTGACCACCCCCACCCCCACCTTCTTTGATCCTACCTCTCCTGTCCCTTGGGTGACTGGAGCCCAGCAGAATGCCACTCGCTCTCACAGGGCCTGAGCTGAAACAAGGCGAGCAGGTTCTGTCTCTAGTTAATCCCAAAGGGAAAAGCAAGAGCAAACAGCTTGGGGTGTGAGGCAACTGTGACTCAGCAGACGGCCCCCGGCCACCAATACTGCCCAGAGTCCACTGGAATTTGACCGGAAGCAAACACAGCCCATGTGGAAGACTATGGGCTCCCAGGGTCTGGCCCCCAGCCAGCCTGCCCAAGCAGAACAGGCAGCCCAAGCTCTGTAGCAGAGGGCCCAAGTGGGGACCCAAGAGAGCCACGATGTGACGCAGTAAGGTGGCAGCTTCACCACGGACCAGAGTAACACAGAGGCTGCCGGGATGGCCACAGTGAATGTCACATGGCAGAGTGGTAGATGTACAGATGGGTGAGGAGGCCATGCAGGCAGGAAAAGTCCCGCAGGTAGCATTTTCCTGAAGATAGTCACCGCGCCCTGGGGTGATGGGCCATTCAGCCCGAAGTTCCCGTGGAAAGTGGCAGTTGTAGTGGAGCCCACACCAGAGTCTGGGATCTAGGCTGTGAACAGTTGGCACACTCGGAGGGGGGAAGGGGTCGGTCCCCCTGGTCAGCATAGGCACGGTGGTTTGGGGCCGGTAGGCTGTGGAAGTTGTGGGTCACAGTGGACCCTGAAGGTCACCAGCAGGCATTGAGTAGCCAGTCCCCAGGGGTCCCTGATGGCTTGGCGGCGTGGTTCTTGTCACAGACTCGAGGTTGAAAATGTTGCTGGAAATGGGCTCATCGGTGTCCGCTGCCCTGGCCTTTCTGATGCTCTTGTGGGCATGGAGCCACCTCTTTGCATTGAATGGGCTCCACAGCGGGGAGCTGGGCCTGGAAAGCCACCCAAGCCACTAGCCTGCCAGTGGCCCCACAGCGCCTACAAGGTACCTTTGTGCCTGAATTCAGCTCCTTTGCACACTAGCCTGAGTGGCCCCACAGCGCCTACAAGGTACCTTTGTGCCTGAATTCAGCTCCTTTGCCATCGCAGCTGACCTCTGTGTTTGTGGGGTTTCTTTTTTTCTTTTGTTTTTGGATTTTAGGGAGAAGGTCTCACTGCATAGCCCAGGCTGGCCTCAAACTCCCACCCCGGCCTGGAGAGTGATGGCACGGCAGGCACGCACCACCGTGTCCAGCCATGGAACTGGGTTTTCTGGATGAGGCCACTCAGATTCCCATACCTGTGCCACCCACTCAGTCTCCCCACAGAGCGGCAGGGCCCCATTTTCAATTACAGGGTCTGAGATGAAAGGGCTGGGGCCTGTGGCCCTGCGGCCTGGAGGAGGGACATTGTGGAGTGAGCGTCTCAGAGGCGAGGTTGCCTTGGGCAGAGTCAGTCAGCTTCACTGGCATGGACCTGGCGAGGGTTCCATTGCACTCATTTCTTGGGGCTTCGATGTCCCTACTGCTCGTCACTAGCAAGCATGCAGTGGTTGGGCTTGTGTCTATTCACTCATGTAATGTAATGGGAAACAGCATGACTGAGGGGACAGCTCAGTGACTTCCCACGCTGGGCCTTCCTGCAGCAGCTTGCCAGAGACCATCTGCACCCCACAAATTGTCCCTTATGTCACTGTCACCCCAAGGCTTTGGGGTTTGGTTTTTATTTTGCCATCCTGGAGATTGAACCCAGGTCCTGCACACTGAGGTACAACCCCAGCTCTTCTTGTTTTATTTTGTGGCAGGCAGTGTCTAAGTCGCTAAATTGCAAGGATTGGGCTAGAATTTAATAATCCTCCAGCTCAATCTCCCAGAGTGCTGGGAGTGTAGGCTTGCACTAGGCTCCCTCCTTTTAACCATCTTTTCTTGGTGCACACCAGCAGTAATGTGCACAAATGGTAACTGTATAATTGATAGCACAACATGTCCATCTCCCCAGAAAGCACTTGCTCGTCTTTTCCCAGCCAATCCACCCCCTGCTCCAGGCAACCACTAATCTAATTTCCATCTCAATACATTGGTGTCCATAGGTTAGTGTCAAGAGGCTGAGCCAGGGGGTTTGCCTCCAGTTTGAAGCCATCCCTGTCTGCACAGTGAGACCCTGTCTCAAAAAACCAAAAGCAACAACAATAATAATAATGGGCTAGTGTTGCCCACTCTAGGACCTGAAGTTCACTCTGCAGTATTCTGCCTCTTTTCTCTGGGTTCTTTGGTTCGGCATGGTGGTCTGAGATTTGCTAGTGATGTTCTTCCTCCGTCGCCATGTCCCATCCTGTTGACCCATGTGAGCACGGTAATTGTTTCTGGTCCAGGGCCGCTTAGCGAGTAGGCTGCCCCAAACACAATGCGGGTGGGTCACAGTCACAGGGTCACCTGGGCCCTGCAGCCATCACTTCTCACCCTGGGCAGGGTCTGGCCACTGTTAACCGGCCGTTTTCTCCTTGGTTGTAGGAGCTGTGTGTGTATCATGGACACAGGTGAATGTCTCGGGCCAGGCTTCCCGCTTTGTGGTGCTGGGGTCGGGGTTCTTGAGCATGCAGCACCTGCACTCCAGCCCTCCACTCGCCTAATAGTGTCTGATGAGCAGCTTTTTTAACTCTGATTTGGTCTTCATTTATCAGTGTTTATAGTTATTGCTTTCGGTGTCCAAAAAAAAAAAAATCTTTGCCTATTCCTATGGACTTTGAAATCTAACGCCCATATTAAAGCCATTCACTCTGATCATTTATCTGGAGAACAAACTCATCTCCGAGGAAGAGCAGTTGTTTCACCCTCTCCAAACCTTATGCGTTTGCATTTTCCTGCACACCACTGGCCAGCTAAGCCAGTGGCTCAGTTGCTTTATGGTTCCAACCTTCTGCAGTGATTTCAGTGCCATCCAAGCTGTGCCTGTTATAGGGTCATTCCTAGGTCAGCTATGCAAATCTAAGGAAATTCCTTTTTGTTACTGCTTTGACAAGAGTTTTTATCACAAAGAGATAATCTTCTAAAACCCCTTACCGACATATGCTGAGTTCAGCAAGGTTGCTAGATTTTGGTTGCTTTGGGGTTTTTGTTTTTTGTTTATGTTTTTTTTTTTTGAGAGACATTATCCAGGCCAGCCTCAAACTCACAGCGATCCTCCTGCCTCAGCCTCCAGAGTGCTGGGATTATGGGCATGCGCCATGCCCGTCTCAGGTTGTTGGATTCTAGAAGTTGATACATAGGAGCAGGCAAAGATGTTTTCCTTTAATCTCTTGCCGTGGTGAGGTCCCGTGACTGACACTGGTTTCTTAGCAGCACGCCACCTTCTCACTTCACAGATGACACCAGTGTGGTTGTGGCTTTGTCTCTGTACATGCGCACGTGTGTTCACGTGCGTGTGTGTGTGTGTGCACAGAAGCTGAGGGCTGTGCCCTGATGCCTTCTCGTTGGGGACAGCAAGTGGGCCCAGGACTGCTCACCTTCCTCCTGTCTGCAGCAGGACTTTGCGCCCGCCTGCAGCTAGAACCCCTGCCAGTGGCTGTCCCTTGAATTGTTTGGGTAGGTTGAATTTTTCTAGAAATTCTCCTCTCTCATTTAAGTTGTCTGTCAGCCACTGAATAAAATTGCTCAGATGACAGTCTTCTGAGCTAGGTATGGTGGTGCATGCCTGTGTTCCCAGCAATCTGAGAAGCTAAGGTAGGAGGATCCCAAGTTTAAGCCCAGCCTGGACAACTTTGCCCTATTTTGAAACACAAAATTTCAAAAAGGGTCAGGGTTGAAGCTCAGTAATAGAGCACTGTGGGTTCAAGCTTTAGTGCATCAAAAAATAAGCCAGGTACAGTGGCGCACGCCTGTAGTCCGAGCATCGAGGCTGAGGCAGAAGGATCACCATGAGTTCAAGGCCAGCCTGAACTACTAGCAAGACCTTGTCTCAAAAACAATAATAAAGCTGGGCATGGTGGTGCATGCCTGTAATCCCAGCACTCGGGAGGCTGAAGCAGGAGGATCCCTGTGAGTTCGAGACCAGCGTGGGCTACATAGTGCGTTCCAGGTCAGTCTCAACTACATAGTGAGAGGCAGAAGGATCACCATGAGTTCAAGGCCAGCCTGAACTACTAGCAAGACCTTGTCTCAAAAACAATAATAAAGCTGGGCATGGTGGTGCATGCCTGTAATCCCAGCACTCGGGAGGCTGAAGCAGGAGGATCCCTGTGAGTTCGAGACCAGCGTGGGCTACATAGTGCGTTCCAGGTCAGTCTCAACTACATAGTGAGAGACACTTTCAAGCCACTCTTTCTTACTCACGTGACAATCGCAGCCACAAGGCACCGGCTTTGATATGTGGTACCTCCATCGTCACTCAGTTCTTTTGGCTTTGAGACAGGGTCTTGCTGTGTACCTCATGGTGATCCTCCTGACTCAGCCTCCCAAGTGCTGGGATGCCAGGCCTGTGCTACCACGCCCAGGCTTATCATTGAATTTTGAAGAATTGAACTTGCAGGTTTCTTCCTGAGACACTTCTGCCCTTTAGATCAGGTGTGGAGCCCCAACGGGCTCAAATCGCAAGGCTCCTCTGGAGATTTCCAGAAACAGGACAGATGAGCTTGTGACTGAGCAGGGACCCTGAGTGACCACCCACCCGGGTCACCAGGGGTGGAGATTGAACTGGGTCCTATCCCTGACCTCTCCTGACCACATCTGTCCTTCTGCCCTAGGGTGACCTGGCCAAGAAGAAGATCTACCCCACCATCTGGTAAGTGCGGCCCTTCCTCACCAGGGACAGGCCAGGCTGTCCACTCCTTAGCCTGTCAGCCTGACCCCAGCTGTACCCGCTGCAGGTGGCTCTTCCGGGATGGCCTGCTGCCTGAGAACACCTTCATTGTGGGCTATGCCCGCTCCCACCTCACAGTGGCTGACATCCGCAAGCAGAGCGAACCCTTCTTCAGAGTAAGTGGCTTCTGGTGTCCCTGCAAGGGGCATCCTGCAGTGCCATCACTGAGTGCCCCGTCACCTGACCTTGCCCTCCCCTCGGACCCCTGCTGTGCGCTGGGGATTAGTGTCTTCCCAGCAGATTGTCACCTGTTGTGGCAGCACTGGAGGGAGACTTTTTATCCCTTCTCCTTATCCAGTGTCCCTGAGCCCTGCCCTCTGTCTTGAGCCACAGGTCCCTAGAGGGCACAGGGTGACTGTCCTTCCTGCACATTGGCACAGTGTATCTGCTGCCTGCTTCTGCCTCTCTCCCACAGGGACCCAGGAGCTGGCACAGCTGACATAGAAGGGAGGCCACTGTGGCCACCAGCACAGTGGGGGTGGGGCTGGCGTCATTGTCTGTCCGGCCCTCTCTCCCAGGCCACCTCAGAGGAGAGGCCCAAGCTGGAGGAGTTCTTTGCTCGCAACTCCTATGTCTCGGGCCAGTACAATGACCCGGCCTCCTACCAGCGCCTCAGCAGCCACCTGGACGCACTGTACCGGGGCCCACGGGCCAACCGCCTCTTCTACCTGGCCTTGCCCCCGACCGTCTACGAGGCCGTTACCAAGCACATCCATGAGGCCTGCATGAGCCCCACGTAAGCCTGTCCCCTCCTGACAGCCTGTCCCGCCCACAGACCCATGGTGACTCAGGCAGGAAGGGTACTGCCAGCCACCCACAGAGCCCTGCTTGTTGCTGCATGAATTCACTCTCCAGAGAGGAAAGACTGTAAATACAGTTGCTTTCTAACAGCTTTTCCTGAAAATGTTACTACTGACCATGTATTTGGGCTCAAACGCCTGTGTCCATCCTGCTCACCCCTGGAGGTTCACAGCCTGTGGTCTCCGGGCCAGCCTGAACTGCTAGGGAGACTCAGTTCCAGGGTGAACAGCAGTTTCCTGCAGGCACCACGAGATGGCAGTGTTGCTCCACGAAACACTGCAGGCGTCTTTCTCTGGCACATTCTGTGTCTTCGCTGTCCCCGCCAGGCCCACCAGGTGGCAGTGTTGCTCCAGGAGAAGCTGCAGCCGCGGCCATCTCTCTATCTTGTTCTCGGTTTTGAACGCAGAGAGCCACATTGATTCTCTATGGGGGACAACAAAGCAAAGGGCCTTTTGTCCTTCTACGGCCCATGAGGGCTGGCTATGGTGGCACGTACCTGTGGCCCCAGCACTCAGAAGGCTGTGCTAGGAGTTCGATGCCAGCCTGGGCAACATAGACCCCACCTAAAAGAGAAAACTCTCGGGGAGTTCTCCCCACCCTCCGGGGGCAGGGCCAATGCGGCCGGCAGGTGGGTGGACTTCTGGGAGGGTCCTGAGACTGGCATCAGGGAGCAGGGTGGGTGCCAGGGTGACAGGGCTGCAGCTCCCGGCAGGGGCTGGAACCGCATTATCGTGGAGAAGCCTTTCGGAAGGGACCTGCAGAGCTCCGACCAGCTGTCTGACCACATCGCCTCCCTGTTTGGTGAGGACCAGATCTACCGCATTGACCACTACCTGGGCAAGGAGATGGTGCAGAACCTCATGGTGCTTCGGTGAGGGCCGGGCAGAGATGCTGGGGACAGGGTGGCAGGTGCCAGAGAGGCCCTGGGCGGCTCCCCGTGGGGAACTCGCTGCCGGGTGCCAGCCTCACCTGCCCACCTGCAGGTTTGCCAACAGGATCTTCGGCCCTATCTGGAACCGTGACAACATCGCTTGCGTGATCCTCACCTTCAAGGAGCCCTTTGGCACCCAGGGCCGCGGGGGCTACTTCGATGAGTTTGGGATCATCCGGTGAGGGCCTGTCTCCCCGCCCTGGCAGTGTTGCCCTCAGGGGTCCCAAGACATACTAGGAGTCAGGAGCAGGTCCCCCAGCTCCTCAGGAGAGCTCACGGAGACCCTGTGTCTGAGCAGCACCCGCCCCTCCATCCCCAGGGACGTCATGCAGAACCACCTGCTGCAGATGATGTGTCTGGTGGCCATGGAGAAACCTGCCTCTACGGACTCCGATGACGTCCGCGACGAGAAGGTGGGTGCTGGCGCTGCGCCCCGGGAGGGCCCTACCCGTGCCTACCTCGCATGTCACTCAGGGGCCCGCTGTCCCCACTGCCCCCAGGTCAAGGTGCTGAAGTGCATCTCCGAAGTGCAGGCTAACAATGTGGTCCTGGGCCAGTACGTGGGCAACCCCAGCGGAGAGGGCGAGGCCACCAAAGGGTACCTGGATGACCCCACTGTGCCACAAGGGTCCACCACCGCCACCTTCGCAGCCGTCGTCCTCTACGTGGAGAATGAGCGTTGGGATGGTAGGTGACCCTTCAGGGCTGGGTGGCCCGGGGGAGTGCGTCGCACACTTGGGCCAGCCTGGTCCTGAGGTCACCCTGCCCCTAGGGGTGCCCTTCATCCTGCGCTGCGGCAAAGCCCTGAACGAGCGCAAGGCTGAGGTGCGGCTGCAGTTCCGTGATGTGGCTGGCGACATCTTCCACCAGCAGTGCAAGCGCAATGAGCTGGTGATCCGCGTACAGCCCAACGAGGCTGTGTACACCAAGATGATGACCAAGAAGCCAGGCATGTTCTTCAACCCAGAGGAGTCCGAGCTGGATCTCACCTATGGCAACAGATACAAGGTGCACGTGCGTGGGAGGCAAGGGTGGGGACGGGGTCACCTCTGTCACTGACACCTGCCCTACAGGACGTGAAGCTCCCGGATGCCTATGAGCGCCTCATCCTAGACGTCTTCTGTGGGAGCCAGATGCACTTCGTGCGCAGGTGAGGGGGGGTGCCAGGCATGGGTTGCCATCCTCCCCGTGGGCTCCCGTCCCCAAAGGCCACACCTTTATCCCCTCAGTGATGAACTGCGGGAGGCCTGGCGCATTTTCACCCCGCTGCTGCACCAGATAGAGCGGGAGAAACCGCAGCCCATCCCCTACATCTACGGCAGGTGAGGGCAGGAGTGCGTGGGGCCCAAGTGGGGGTCCCTGTGTCCACAGCAGGGGAGGGCAGGACAGTGGGGGTCTGGGGCCAGTGTCCCTCATGTCCCCCCGCTTGTCCTGCTTCCAGCCGAGGCCCCCCCGAGGCGGATGAGCTGATGAAGCGAGTGGGTTTCCAGTATGAGGGCACCTACAAGTGGGTAAACCCCCACAAGCTCTGAGCCCCAGCGCCACTCCCCTGCTCGTCCTCCCCACGTCGGGAGGACTCTGGGACCACAGGCTCGGCACCACCCTCGCCCCTCGCTGCCGCTCCTGTGCCAGCCA